GAGCAGAGAAAGGAAGCATGTTCTAACCATTTAGAGGGGAAATGGATAAGATGTTACTAATAAGCTCTGCTATAGATTTCTTACCATTTTCCTCATCTAAAGGAATACAGAGATGAGATTTTAAATTCTGAATACCTGATGACTGTCATCTCTAGACTAAATTATTAGCAAGGGTTTTACTTTGCTGTTAACTTTACTAAAAACCCAAAGGACACAGGATTACCAGAGTCCAGAGGAAGAAATAGAATCTACACACAAGCAGACCATGAACAGCCACTTCTAGATGCCCTTTCATCACCTGTGTGCACATTGGCCTTCTTCCACAGTGGGGCTGCGGTGGAGATCGGCAGGGCCCCTAACGCCTCCTGGCTGTGGTCCCCCTATGCCCGTCTTCATCTCTCAGCATTGCCCCTCAGCCCACCTCGCTGCCTACCCTGTACTCCAGTTACACCAAACTGCCCACTGGTCCCCAATACGTGACATCTGGAGCCCTCTTCTTTCACCCCCACCTTTCCTATTAGGTAAGTGTTAACTCATCTTTTTCTATTTCTTTCCATATGATTATTTTCCTTTTAAAAATGCAGCATTAAAGCCATCTACATACAGATAGCCTTATGGTTTCTTACCCATCTTATTCTGCCTAAACTTAGGTACAAAAACATGGAACGCTTCATGAATTTGCATGTCCTCCTCGCATGGGGCCCCGCTAATCTCTGTATCATTCCAATTTTAGTATGGGCGCTGCCGAAATGAGCCCGGCTCAGCTTGTAACAGTTAGCTCCAATGTGACTTTATTCCAGAATTGTTTCCAGCCCCAAGCGAAGTTGGTGGCATCTTTTTCTGCTCTTCCATCGTAGCCAGGACCCACTTCATTGTGTGATCGACTGTAACATGAGTTCACAGTGTTACCCTCCCTTGTCACACAGAGAGGGCGGGGACTTACTCTTGAAAAGCCGCACCCATTAGCCCAAGGTTTCCCAACAGCAGGACATTGACTTTTCAGGCTGGAGAATGCCCTCGCAGTTGGGCCTGCCTTGTGCGTTGTAGGATGCTTAACATCATCCCCGGCCTCCAGCCTCAGTGCGGTAGGTAAAAACTGTCTTCAGGCCTTGCCCAGTGCCTCCGGGGGACAAAACTGACCCCCCTTGAGAGTCACTGCTATAGCCCTAATACAGAGCCCGATACATAGTCGGTGCTTGATAAACGTTTGCTGGTTAATAAATCATGAATAATGAATCAAATTAAATAATGAATAATATGAAAAAATAAAAATAAATCATGCCCAATTAATGAATTAAAAACTGAGGGGATTAGCAGATGAAAAAGGACCTTACTGTAGCTTTGACACATTCATCAAATCAAACCCAAAACCTTTATGCCAGCAGTCGAGTCTCTTTATGAACTAACTGGCTCTACTTTCTTTCTCTGTTTTCTCTTGTGCACTTTGCTCACCTGTGGGCTCTTCCGCATGACCACGCTTTGTTTTCTTCTTGCCAATCCAAACTTTGTACTTACTCCAAGACAAAGAACACCTTGTCTACTTCCAGAAGCCTGCCCGAATTTACCTAATCCAGTGATCTTCTTACCTCACATTCTCCAAATATTTATGAACAGGGTCTATGACAGAAAATTATAATACATATATACATAAATATTATATATGTATCATGTCTGTAATGTACATGTAATACACATGTACATTACAGAACTAGTTATATTTTTGTTTCAAACTTCTCAACTAGAAGAATCACTCCTTGATGGAAAGCTTACTCGCACCTTTGAGTTCTTTCCTCTCAGCACAAGCTTTAGGAACAACAGATGTCAAGCTTTTTGCTTGAAGTGAGTATTTTCTTTAAGCTAATGGCAGGTGTGTTAAACCTGTGTTAATTTGTGTGGTCCTGACACAGTTTTGTTTTTAAAAGGTGTAGGCCTAATTCCTTAATATCTTGCAGTTTTGAGCAAACTCATTTCAATGAGATTGTGCAAACATGAATAGAAGTAATTTGCAATGTTTTAAAATTTCCGTAAGAAGGTGCTAAATGTGATAAACAATGAAAATGACAAAAATGGCTGCAGCTTGTCTTAACTTCTGACTGTGCTCCAACTCCATCTAGGCCTCTTTTTTCATCACTTGGGGAAACTGTGTTGAAGATTTAGGCCTGCCTGGTGGACGCCGAGCTCTCTCAGCACCCAAGCAGCCTTCGCAGCCCCCCTCCCTCGGGCAGACTCGCAGTGACCTGTGCAGGCACTTCCCCCCATGCCGGGCTTTGGAACTTTGCCCATTTCTGTTCTCAGGGTATTTCTCTCACACTTTTCTTGGAAAAGCTCATATTTTACACAAGTGTGGTCACCCGTGGGGCTTCTGATCCACAGTGTTCAACGGGAGAGGGATGACCCTGGACTTTGGCAGCATTGCTTCTGAGCTCCCATTTGTGACAGGGTAATTACAGAGTAGACCTACTGGGATGGGGTAGGGTGGGAGAAGACATTCCTAGCTTCAGCACTGATTTTTACAACCCTTAATAAAAAGACGAAAGAATGCCTTTAAGCACCGTAAACTGTGCCTTTTGGTAGGATAGCCTCTCAAGGCTTCAGTCTCTCCGGAGTTCCAAAGGTTCAGACTCTCCATTTATTCCTCTCTGCTGTACTTTCTGACTCGCCCTCTCCATGGTTCTCTCCTCTGCACCCACCCACACCCTCACACTAAAAATACGAAACCAAAACTTCTCCTGACCCTGCCTCCTCCTATAGTACAATCTTGATTTATTCTACCTCATCACCAAACCCATGCTGTCCCCCCCATTTGTCACTTCCACAACCTTGTCTCACTTTTGTACTCAGTTCACTGCAATCCCCTCACTTCTCATAATGTACGCACTCTTTCTGAGAATCTAGGACACCCTAACATTGCCACCCCAGTGGCCCTTCCCCGGTACTCCAGCTCTCTGGTCCTGCTGCAGTCTCTGGTGCAGCTGACCTGCCTGTTTGAAGCTGTCTCCTGGGGTAGCTCCCAGTCTCTTGGTTTTTCTTATCCCTTTATTCCTTTTCAGACTTCTTGATGATTTTACTGTCCACTTTAGATGTAGGTCATGTCAGGGTTCTAGCATCAGCATTTATTCTTTCCCTCCTTTAATGTTCTCCTAGAGATGACTTATTTTGTCATGTCTTCAAATATCAATTAACTGTAAAAGCCACTAAATGCTTCTCTTCACATTTATCATCTTCTGGAGGTTCCATCCCACGTTTTCAACTGTCTCCAGGTTTGCCAGTTACCAAGCACCTCAAATGCATCGTGGCCAAAACCAAATTCAATTGCCTTCTTCCTCCCGCAGCTTGCTCCTCACGGTTCATCCTTCTATTAAAGACTATCTATTCCAAGCTAGAAAGAGAATTTTTATATAACTCATCTGTCTCACTAAATACTGATGGCACTTCTGACATCTTTTGATCTCATTCTTTTCATGTCCGTAGGTGACCAAGACTGAGTGTTCTCTGTTCTCTCCCTGCTTTTGTATATTGTTTCCTCTGTGGAAGGAGTTCTCTGTGCAACAACCAGTCTCTGATTGCCACTCTCTTGTCCCAGAAGTTCCTTGTTCTGCAGACAGAGGAGAACCAAGCCCAAATTAAAGCTGAAATTCAGAGTCCTCCGTGACTGTAACTCTAACCTTCTTCAGAATCTAATTTCTCACCACTTCATTGACAGCAGGAACTGCACTCTAGTGCTGTATGTGCCGTACACTTTCTTTTTCCACCTGGTGAAATCCAACTACAGTGTCAGGGCTCAGCTCAGAGCTCCTTTGTGAAGCACCCTTATCCTTGGTTTATAAGCAGAACTAATCACTGCCTTCTGCACCTCCATAGCACTTCCTTCTAGTTCTATTATACTGCTTTGTAACATGATGGTTTTCATGCTAGTCACTGAGCTTAAGGTGTCCTTGGTCTGGTGGGGTGCACAAGGTGTTATCTTACCCATTTGTCGGCTAGCCATCAACCTGGCTAGCATTTTAAAACTTACACACTACTCTGGATCCCCCCATTGCTAATGTTATGATTTTGAGTATTATTTAACTTCTCCATCTAGAGAAAACAGTGTATGTCACAGTCTGAGCCCATGATACCGGCATCATGTATTATTCATATCATTCATGTCTGGACCATTGTTCAATATCTAGCACTCGATAATAACTTAGTAGGTGCTCAATACATGCATTGAATGAACAGATGAATTAATTCCTAGAAATTGAGAGAGGATTGACTTAGGTATAGGAAAAGTAGAGAATAAGTCCCTGTCTTTCAACTTTCTAAAATTATTTTCTTGAAATAAGTGTACTAAACTAAACTTCTGTAGCAATTGAAATTGCTTCCTTCAACTGCGACAGATAATCATCAGTTACATATATTATATGGAGTGTTCTCTACTGCACAAAGCATTTCCTGAACAACACAAATGAGTACACACTTGCATGCTTAGAGCAGTTAGGTCCTAGCAGCAGCAAGCTAGTGGTCCTACAGAATATAGTCCCAGTAGCCTATACAGAACAGATTCTGTAGTAGCCTGAGACCATTACTGCTAGGACCTGGACAAGTCCTTCCCTTTCCCAACCAGGCAACTAGCCAGCAGCATCACCTGGGTTTAAATTGTTAACTTCCAACTCCACCACTTCCTTCCTTCTTCAATAGTCCTTCTCCTTCCCAGTCCTTTCCCTAACTTTATTTTTCATCTTTTTACATATATTACTGTTTTCACTTACACTCCAGTCAATTACCAGAAAAATATAGAAGAGTGAATAACTGGATGGCTATTTTTGATGAGGGCCAATACCTTAAATATTTTCAAATTTTCCATGTAGGATCAAATTAGACACCAACTATACAATTATCAATGCTCTTTTTCTTTTATATAAATTAAATGGGCTTAAATGACAATAAGTATGATGATACAAATGCCTGTATTTGCTTTAAAGTCTTTATTCTCCTGAATATAAAAGACAGAAGTCCTCTTAGGATATAACAGAGTTCTTTATGTGGAAACATTATTTTTTTACAAGTGAAAAAATAAATACCTTTTGGAATAAAGGCTTATATGCTAATATGTGCCATAAAAAAGTAGAGTTTTAATATCTGACAAAATGTCTGTGCAAAGAAACAAATGCATAAACACATTACTGCTACATTAAGGCAATATGAAAAGTATACTCAGAAATCTCAGTAAAGTGACAGTGTAGCTTTCTAGCTTTCAGTTAGCTAGTATTGCACCCAGTACAGTCATCTAGGTTTCCCGAAGTCCTAGAAAACCCACGAGCTGACCAACATCCAAAATGCCCAGGTGGGAGTGGAAAACATGATTAAGAATATAGAAACAAAAAACCTGAAACCCCTCTTAAGACATAGAGAGGGGACGAGCAAAAGTTAATATTTAAGCATTTACCAAAAAAAAGCATATAATATCTAGGTACCTATAAGGCTGTACAAGGCTTGATGGCTCAAGCAAAGGCGACCCCCCGGGGTGAAGATGGGCAGAGCGCTGAGGAGGACGCAGAGCCGCCTTGTTTGCATACCATGGAGCTTCCGCAGTGAGCATCGCTCTCCCTTCCCAAGGAACACGCTCCCTTTTCAATCTTAAACTAAAACATTCCACCAACTCGAGAGGCCCAAGGAGTGCTGATTACTCCACCAAAATCTTTTAACCGAATTGGTAGCATTTTACAGTTGAAAGGCTTGAAGGCAAGGGGAGGGCGGGAAAGGAACAGGAAGCCGCCGCACTGAGTTACTTGTTTTCCTCCATCCAGACCGGTTTACATCTGACAACTCTGTCAACTGTCTAAAAGTCACAGAATTAATTTTTAAATCTGTTTGCCTTCTAATCATTCTTGAACACGTTATAAAAACAGAAATGTCATGAAAACATCTTTAAGAAAAAATTTCCTATTAAAAATGTTCAGAGCTCTGTGACCATACCGAAACAAAAGCAAACACGAAAATAAAAACAAACCAAGAAAATTCTTCAAACCAATTCTTCCACAACTGGCGGCAGGTAGGAAGCTTACCTTAGACTACATTATGGAGACTTACAACATCACTTCCTAAAAGGTACCCACTTTTTGGCTATGGCACCACCTAATGACATCAGACATTTTACTTATTCCTTTACTTGATCATAAAAAGAATGAAAGTCCGAGGAATGTGTCAGTGCCCCGAGCTCTCCCTGGTCCCCACCACTGGCGGTGCTGATGGTATGTTTCGGTGGTGAGGAGTGTGGCATTCTTTTCCTTCTTTTTAAAAAAATGTTGCACGGTAGATGGGTGTTGGAGTACTTATTTTCTCCACAGTCTATCGTTTTCAGTTTATAATAGTGCAGTGCATGGAAACACGGCCTGTCCAGTAAGCGCACAGCAGGTCAGATGACGGTCAGGTTGAGAAGACTGGTGTGAGTCGGAAGATAGACATGCTGAACGTGTTCCACCCGCGACCTGCACACGGGACACGACTGCAAGAGAGAAGCCAACAGTACCTGTTAGGACACCTCCCATCAGTCTCGCCAGTGTTCACCTGTGGTACCTGTTACATTCCACATTCTGTTTTCTAAATAAGTCATGATCATAATTATTTCTGGCTTTCAACTGAAAGAGATCTTTGCTTCCTAACCTGTTTGAAAGTTTACCCTTTACAAGGGATTAAAGGCAAATATTATAAAAAAGGATAAACTGAAGGGAACTGAATTAGGTTTTTTGTCAAATGCTAAGCAAGGCATAATGAGTATCCGGAAGCCTTCTCGCCGTGCAGTGAGGCCGTGGTCACCACCCGGGCGGATTACAGCCCTGCGGCAGTGATGCAGGATGCTCTCCCGGAGACCGAATGTACTGATCAGGGGCTGACCCGGGCCAGTAATGATGCCATGTGGCCAGTGAGTGTGGCTCTGCTCATAGTCACCGGCTGCTCAGTAAGCACAGCCCCTCCTTAGTCACAAAGGGAGCCTTAGGCACAAGGGCAGAAAAAGACAAACCCGTGACCACGTGTAGGGAAGTAACTTGTCGTAGCAGCATGATCTACTCTTAGGGGCGGCACAGGCATTCTGTTGGCTCATTGTGTAGCTCTAAAATCAGCTCTGAAACTAGCACTTTCTGAAGGACTGGATGTTATTTAGGGCTAGTTTTATATAAAACCATAGTGAAATTTAGCAAACACTTCTGGGAAATGAAGATGAATTGAAGAAATTATTCAATTATTAAGAGGAAATGTAAGTGCAAGGAAGAAAAAAATATGATATGATTTTTTTGGTAATAATATTAAAATGAGTTTGACTTGCTAACTAAGCCACTCCAAGGGGCCGCTAGAGGCAAATGTACTAATAAGAATAAATTAATTACAAATCATCACAGAGTAAATAAGATACCCATGGATCATTGAGAATTAACTAAACTCTAAGTATTCTTTCTCAAGTAGAGGGTCCAGTACAAATAATGCCCCTTTTTTATCACAAAATCTTTTATTACAAAATCCTAAGTATATAATTCTGTAACATAACAATATCACACTCAAGCACACCATATGACATTTTAGGTGAAATGTTCGAATTAAAAGTATAAATTCTTCCGCCCATATTATTACCCTACCAACCACACACAAGAGGCCTTACTTCTGCCAGACCCTGTACTTTACGTAAAGACCATCCTCTCGAGTGTCAGCAAATAGGAAGCAACATGAGATGGAAGAGGAAGTCCTGGACCAGCCCTCAGGAGCCCGGGATTATATCCTCGGCTCAGCCGCTAACCAGATGCGTCACCCTGGTGAATCTAAGCCTTGCTTCCAGCACTTGAAAAACGTCTAGGGTTTAGAGTAATTATATTGTGGAAAATAGAACCCTAGCCCAAATGTTTCAAAAGGGCAATACCTTTCAAGTCACCAGATACAAAGACCCACCCAGGTGCAGGTGGACATCCTTGGTTTGTGCACTAGTGAGCCAGCACCTGGCGGGGAGCAGGAACTCCCTATGAAGGGAGGGGCAGGCGAGGCTGCCAGGCGAAGAGCCAGCAGACACCCCTCACCTGGAGCTGGGCGGCGCAGCTCTCACAGCACACGGTGTGCCCGCAGGGGCAGAAGGCCGAGTTGATCTCCTCCCCGCAGCACAGCATGCACAGCATGGCCTCCTTCAGCTTGCGCAGCTTCTCCTGCAGCACGCGGGTCTGCTGGCAGCTCAGGCCCTCGCAGCTCCTGCAGTTCATGCCGCCCTCCGAGGACTTCAGCGGCGAGTTGGGAGGGCTGTGGTCGCTTCTCGAGACGAGGTCCACAACGCCCGCGTTGTACAGAGCCCTCCTGGCATGGTCATACACCTCCTTCGCTGTTCTCTTAATATCGAAGACATACTTCTTGCCCAGGTTAATGTTTTCATTCAGAAACAGAGATGCCAAGTGGCCCTTCAAGTCTCGGCTGTACTGCATCATGACAGCGCTGGTCACTGTGTCACACCTACAGGGAGGGTTGAACAGCCACCTCAGTATGGACAAGCCCACCTATTCCGGAGAGTCAGTCCTGCCAACACTGCTGTGAGTGAGAATGTTCCTGTCAGCAGACATTCGATACTCTTATTTGCATGCTTAAGAGTAAATATATTCTTCCAGTTTTATGTGTGTTAAAAATTTCAATGATTCTCTGATAAAGCAGCTGTAAACTTCAGACAGGGAATGTACCCCTCTGGCTGCAACGACATGAGCCACAGTCCAAAGGAGCTCGTAGCAAGAAAAAGAAATTTTTCTTTGAAGTCTTGGTTTTATGTTAAACATTTCTATAAACTTTCCATTCTGCTCCACAATTTGAGTGTCTATATTAGCATTAAGAAGGTTAAAGTTGCCTGCCAATTAAATTTCTTAGCTTCAATTTTCCAAATATTTGCATGAAACCACAACTCTACTTTAAATCATCCTCTGAAAGAAGAGCATCGAAACCATTATTAAAAAATCCTTACAATGTACTGAGGTTCAGGATGGCAGCCCTCCCAGGAGCTGGGAGAGGGCAGGAGGCACCACCTTCGGGGAGAGGGGGTGCTGTGGGAGGTAGGGGAGCGGTAAGCTGGGGAGGGTGCCTGCTGCTTGGGCCCACGCACTTCTTGTGGGAAAAGCAGGACAACGTTGCTAGGGACTCCATGGCTACAGTAGAAATGAAGTGCTTCCAAAGGAGCCGGTTTCTTAAATTCGGTACAGGATTTACTGACACAACAATGCCAGAAACTAACTGTAGGCGCCCCTTGGTCACCTGAAAACCTGAGAGCTACGCTAAGGTTACCAGCAACACGTGCCTGTAGAAAGCGTGCGTCTCCGTGATTGCGCGGTACAGCCCGCTGGCTGCCCTGGTGCTGATCATCTTAAACAGGAGCACGATGCTGTTCCCAGACTCCTTGGTGACGGTCAGGTACACATTCTTTCCTGACTGCGTGGCCATCTGCACGACGGGGTAAGCTATCCTGAAAGGCAGGAAGAGAAAGGTCGGTAAGCGCAGAGGGGAGGTTTGTCATCCTGTGTGCGCCTGTACTCGACTCTCACGTGCTCGGGACCGGCAATGAAACCAGATGCTCCCTGAAGCACTGTGCCCTCTGGCGATGAAGGCACACTGAAAAGCAATCGTGGGTCAGTGGACGGAAGTGTGGGAGGAAGTTTTTGGGGGCGTGTACATGTCTGTACAGGTGAAAATGAGATTCCTATAGCAGTGAACTACTTGTCTGAAAAAATAGTAAGGCTGCCATAGCAATACTTTTTAGTTAGTATTTTTTAAAAAATAGTTATGGAAGCCTGAATAAAATGAGCATATATATATTCCTTATTGAAACTTCATCCCTAAATGAAGACTGTTCAGTAAAGCCCGTTCCATTTCCCGTTTTCATATTGGAGTTATGAAAGTATGCACATACGTAGGTTTAAAAAAATTGAAGACTTGGGTTACCTGTTAATTGGGCTGAAGTCATCTTTACAAATCGAGATTCCTTCAGGCCCCACTCCTATAAGGAGTCTCTGCCCTTCACTGTCCCTCACGGAATGCCACTCTATGCCGTAGTTTTCCATCGCTGACACAACCTGTAAGACCTGGTATTCAGCGGAAGCCTGGCTGGTCCCCTCCAACTCCTTGTGCTTGGCAACGATGCTGCAGAACACCAAAGAGGCAGAGGTGGACAGAGGGATTAACTTATGCAGCCTCTACAAATCCATCTCCATCACTTTCACTGCTGAATTCTACTGACACTGTCATTTATGAATCATAGTAACTGAAAGCTACACTATTACTGAAGTTTCATTTAGAAAACTTACAGTAAAACACTGCTAAGACATACTGAAGAGCATGACTATTAAGTATTCAGTAGAAAAACTATTGGGGATACTGGATGAGGGGAAATTGAAAGAATTATGAAAATCTCTAAAAATACACGTAAGAAATTTATATGTACAAACTTCTCACCTGTTTACATTTATTTTATAAGTTTCATTAAAACACAGCATTATAAGGGATTGATTAGATTGTTTGCAACTGAAAAAAAATTTATTTTATCTATTGTGGTGGACATCTCTAATCTAGTCCTTAAAGGCCTCTACCTCCGTGCTCTCCCCCTTGGAAATGTCCTTCATTTGAGTGTAGACTGGATTAATGACTTGCTTCTAATGAACAGAAAATGGCAGGATGATGGGATGTCACTTGCTTCTGAAATTAAGTCATGGAAGGATTCTGACTTCCATCCTGGTGTTCTTTCTTGCTCCAACTTGGACTGCTGGTGCTGGGGGAGGCCAGCCACCACGTCATGACAAAGCTCCAAGGAGAGGCCCACGTGACGAGGGAACGAGGCCTGCCAACAAGGTGCAGGGGTCAGCCTGGACGTGGGTCTCAGGCGAGCCTTCGACTGAGCTCCACCAACAGCTTGACAGCAGCCTCAGGAAAGGTCCTGAGCCTGAGAACCCAGCAAGCCTGACTCCTGACCCACAGAACTGCGAGACGGTGTTTGCTGTTTTAAGCCACTAAGTTTCGAGGTAATTGGTTACTGAGGAATAGATAACTAGGACACCTGTGTTAGGTTTCTTGGTTTAATCCTCACTGGGATGAAGAACGTTCCAGGATACATGGTAGACTTTGATGTCACGTGACTTGCATTCTTAAAAGGTCGCAGGTTTTTATAATTCCTGTTATATAGCATTCTGTATAATGGCATTTATTTGTGTGGATTATATGTTGTGTTTAGAGATTCTTCAAAAAAAGGGGCTAAGAATCTTTTGAAAGTTGGTGAAAGCTGGTTAAAGACTTAGGCAATGGCCCAGTCTTAACCTCACAAATTATCTATACGTATCATAGGTTCATTTTCTCCTGGAAATTCGTACCAGTTTGCTAGATCTATGGGTGTAAACACTAGCCTTAACTGCAGGTTCACCTGGTCAAGGCTGCAGTGGAGAGCTCCTTTGCACACAGCTCCTCGTAGCTGTACTTGGCAGTGTTCTGATTGTAGTCTCCAAACTTGGTCTGGGCCAGGAGGGCACTGAGTCCCACCGCCTGCTCTGGGGAACACTGGAGGTGGCCAGCCAGGAGCGCCTCCTTGATATGCAAGAAAAAAATATGCCTACAAAGCAATGCAAAAATGAGATTATGCTAGGAACTAACTTGGTATCAAACTTAACCTGCTTAGCATTTTCACGATTCCTTTTGAGTGAGGAAAACAGAAATTATAAGAGTCACCCTCAAAATGCTTAAAGAACCTTTTTTTTTTTAATGAGTATGTTGGCAAAGGAAGTCTAAGTACTCAGTTTCTCTGGGATAAAAAGTGTAACCCAAATAAAAACAGATCTAAGTTCAGTAACATTCAAGTTACAAAATGTAAAATCATTACGCCAAAATTTCTGCATTTTAATTTTTAAAAGAAATAATTATAATCAGAAAAATTTTTATCTTGACATGGAATTAATATCTTAACGCCCTCAGCTTTATTCAAATGACCCCCAAATCTCTTTTAGCCCAAATTTCTTTCCTAGGCATTGGATTCAAATGTCCAACTTCCTGTTGAGTTCTGCACTGGGATGTTTTCCAGTGTCCCAACTTTAGTTCATTCGCAACCAAACTCCCTGTCTTCCCAACCTGCTCTGTCTACCTGTGGCAACCATAGCCTGATCTGCTATTCTTCCAAAAAAACTCACTTTTGATTATTACTCTTATCTCTACCTACTTTCTATTTGTCAAAACTCTTTAAATCCAGCTCTGTTCTTCCCACTTTAACCTCCTCTGCCCTACTTGCATTTCTAAACTGTCACAGAATTTACAATATTCTCTATGTCTACGCCAACCTCTCTTCTTGACTCTGTGCTGATCCACTTTCCAAGCTTCTGGGATGTTTTCCTTTTCTCTGCCTAGAATCTTTCAAGGGATCCATTTCACTGTTTCTGAAAAAGCACGCTGTCAGCGGAACCCAGGCTCCTCTGCCCTTTGGCCCCATAGCCCCTGACATTCCCTCCAGCCACTATGCCCAGGGAAAGGAACACTTCTCTGCTCCTTTTATCCTGAAGGCCATTCTTTCTGTCTCCTCATTTAGCTACCATTCTAAATGGTACCATATCACATGCGAACTACTTATTCCTCTATTATGGTATTTGACACATTCTAACATGTGCCTCAAGTGCCTCTAACATCAGAGAGCTCTGTAACTGTAAGTAAAATTGCAGACTGTCTGTTTATACTCGTTCTCACCTTAGTTTCAGTCCATTTGGCTGTCCTAATTGTGTATCATAGTATATTTCACATTTACTAAAAGGGCTCAAGAGAGCATATAAATGTCCACAGGCAGATTGGCCTAGGTTATAAAATCTGTCTCTGACAAATGTATAAGTCTAACCTTCCTCTGATGACTGGGTAGGGCCTCTCAAGCGTGCTCAAACGCCACAACATCCCTTCCATTGACTGAGGAGTTACGGCCACTGGTAAAGCTCTGAGCACTGTTCTGAACAGAGCACGTTAAGATCAGCTCCCCACTTCCGCCGGACACTCCACTCCAGCCCTCAACACTGCCTTTACTCGTAGGTCAGTCTGGTTTGCCGTTCAGTGGGGGGAACAGCATGAGAAAGGTACGAAAGGAAGAAGAGAGTGAGACTGGAAGCACAGCGAAGGGCTCTGTTGAGAGTCGTCAGGCTGACAAGAGCCATTAATCTCCTTTTAAGAATTGCTTAAATGTAATGTTTCCTGCCTTCTGTAATGATAGAGAAATGTTTAAAATGATCGGACTCTGCCAAACACTACATTTTTTTTTCTTTATTCACAGTCCCTATGAAGAAATCACAGTAAGAATGCATAATAGCAATAAAAGAAGATAAGCATGGTTTTTATTAACCCAAACATCTGCTAGTCTTTAAAGTATTTCTGACATACTGCTTAACTGAGAAGGGGGTCCCTACGGGGGCAAAGAAATAACCACAAAATAACTTGCTTTAACATAGCTATCTGAGGACTGAGACCTAGCAGTCCCACACAGTGTTGGTACCGAGCCCTGCCTCAGCCCACGCAGTGCACTTCACCTTGGTTAACGTGCCCCTCTCTCTGTGTTCATCAGGGGAGATACCACTAGAAAGGAAATCTGAATATATGCTTACATTAATGAAGAAATTATGCGCTGAAAGGCTGTAAGGGTATCACCACAGGCTAACTCTTATCAACTCAATTACTGCTTATATAAAAGTGTCTTTTAAGTTATTTACCACGTAGAAGTTAGCGACTACTTTCTGCTCTATTGATGAGTATATATAGCTTGCAAAAGAGTTTCAAAATCGATCCGATTTCTTTTTCTAAGCTATCCATGCCTACTTCTGAAGAGGCAGCTGCCAAAAGCAAAGGCAAAGCACTAGTAACTAAATATTAACAGGTGGGCAGCAGCCTGAGCGTTATGCAGATCCTCTTCCGGCATGTGGGTGGGAATTAAGTAGGGGGTGGGGACAACTGGTCTTTGCTACATACTCCACATTCTCGGCTGGACCGCAATCATTACCCTGTGAGCAGAACTCTCCTCCTTACTGTTGACATAAACTTTCCCGCATTTTTTAGTTTCATGGGCTACAAAGCAACCCTTTCATTTTCAAGTCAACAAATATTTTGTGTGCACTCCCCCTGAGCCAAGCCCCACGCGCTGGGGTTACGGGGCCAACAAGCCTGATCATTGCCGTTCAGAAGAAACTTACAGCCTTTTGGTGTGAAGTAACACATCCTATCAAAATAATTCCTGCCACGAACTGCCTTTTGGGTGACCACTTTATGCTCCACAGGAGGACAGCACAATGGAACAGTGACAGCAAAGGTCACCAGCTGTGACGAGCCATGAGCAGATTCTATTTAATGTGCTCTTTCCAAGAGGGAGGAGGGCAGAGGACAGAGACACATTTCCAACAAAGAATCCAGCCACGGCTCAATAGTTAGGGGTGGCTTTGAATCAAGCATTTTCTCCTATTATTTTTCTCTCCAACCATCTGGTCTGTAACTATCTGACTCATGGATTTTTCCCCCTTCCTTTTTTTGTAAAGTGGGCAAAAAGTTACCAATAATATCAATAACAAGTAGATGTAGTTAAAGAAGTCGTGCCTGCAGGGAATTGTTTTTATTTTATTTTTTATTAAAGATTAAAAGTGGTTGACATTTCCAGCTCAATATTAGACTATATGCTAGAATCACGAAGATAATGAAAGTCTTTGAAAAAAACTATTTTCTTTGTCTGAAGCAAATGTCTATGAATATGTCCTACAGATACAAGTTCAAAGGGCATTTCCTTCCTAAACATTCTCCTGGTTACACCTTAAAATTCATGATTCTTCAAATTTTACCCAGTTACTAAGAAAGGAGATATTTTTAATATATGGTTCATATTTTGGAGGCCCAAGTGAAACATTCTGGCTAACTTATATCTTTGCATTATGGGTGCAAATGAATTCACACTTACTGTAGCATTATGGAAGATTAAAAAAATGAAGTGGATATAAGAATATGCCAAATTTTAATTAAAAAAAGAATCACGTATTCTTAATACATTTCTGTTTCAAAGTACTTCAAATTTCCTCTATTCTAAAAAATAATTTCTTTTCATAGCTTTAAGGAATTGAGTCATTTATCTTTTATGAATTATAATCAGAGAACTTTCCTCTAAACACTGGCTTGACTCATACAGAAATCATCTAAAAACCAAAGCAGAACTTTCTGCAAACCAGTCGGGAGTTGTCTCTCTGGTCCCCACGGATGGTTACTCTCAACTACTGCCCCCAAGTATCCCTCCAGTCACATTATTTTAAAGAGCTTTTGTGACACAAATGTAAAACAACTATATCCACCTACACCATCCAACTCAAACTTTAAGTAACTAACCTAAAAACATCTTTACAATGGCCAAATAGCTATTTTAAAAAACTTTCTAGTCTCAGTAATTGAACTGTATTTCTCCCCCAGAAGACCAGACTGAACCTGGCCATCCCTTAATAATAGTGACTGGTTTGTCCCTCACCGGTGAGACCCCACGGAGACGAAGAGTATGCCTGCCTCAGTCCAGCAAGTCATTCAGCACATTGAGGAACTTTAAACCCAAGCCTGCCAAGTCATACATTAAAGCCATCAGATCAAAACAGAACTGCTGTGAGAGTTTTTTGTTCTGTATCTTAAGTTCCAGGGAAACAAAAATCATTTCAAGATGGATCATAGCTGGAATCATGATGCTTTTAAAGTGAAACAGAGGAGAGTATCCTCATGGCATGGGGGGAGGCAAAGGTTTCTCAGGACACAGTCTGTAAAAATTGTGCAAGAAAAAAAATGGACAAATTAGACTTTACCAAAATAAAAAAACTCTACTCATCAAAAGGCATCAAGAAAACAGGTAAGCTACTGGAGAAAATATAATATTCACAAAACACGTATCTGACAAACAACTGGTACGTCCAAAGAATTTGCAAAGCTCAAAAATAAAGGCAACCACTCAATGAAAATGACTTGTAACTATCAATGATACTTCACAGAAGATGATGTACGAAAGTCAATAGACACATGAAAAAGTGTTCACATTATTTTTTAAATCCTCACCTGAAGATATATTTATACATTTAAGAGAAACACCAATGTGAAAGAGAAACATCCATCAGTTGCCTCCTGTATGTGCCCCAAAGGGGATGGAATCCACAACCTAGGTACGTGCTCTGACTGGGAATCAAACCTGAAACGTTCTGGTGTATGGGGCGACCCTCCAATCAGCTGAGCCACCCGGCCAGAGCAAGTGCTTACAGTTAATCAGGAGAGACATACAAATTAAAACTGGAGGCTGGCAGGGGCATGGAGGAACTGAACTCTTAGACGTTCTTGGTGGAAGTGCAGGGTGGTACAAGGGCTTTGGGAAAAGGCCTGGAGTTCCTGATATAACTAAGCGGTTGCCCCCTCTATGACCCGGTTATTCCAGTCTTAAGTGTTTACTCAAGAGAAATAAAAACACATGTCTACCAAAAAGACTTGTGCTTCAATGTTCACAGCAGCTTTATTCATAATAGCTGGGAAACAGGTCTTCTTCAGTGGCCACATGGATGAACAAATAGTAGTACATTCACACCATGGAATACT